CCCCAAAACCCCAAAACCCCAAAACCCCATAACTCCATTATTGAAGATATTTTTAGAATTAAATCTATAGCAAAAATTATTAATAAAATTGCGCGAATTTTAAAATGGATTAGTTAATGAGATAATTTGGAGGTTAAGGGAACCTAAATGATATTATGAATGGTATTATGAATAATGAAGAAGGAGATGGAGTGGAAGAAGAGTTGGATGAAGAAACTCTTATGTAAAATTGCAAAATTACTTACGATGTATTCATAAAAAATAATCTAGAATGCACTTCCCATTCACTTCAATGGCTTCCAACAAGAAGCTAAGATCCAGATAACTCTTAATTTTATGTTCAAAACTTCTTGATAGGAACTCATTATAGTGAGGATCATGGGGATATGTTCGGTAATGACTCAATTCAAATAGCGTAAATAAAGGTTCCTAAGTATGATTAAAATCAAAAATCAGTCATAGATTATACTAAATTACCTAAAAATTAAAGCAAAGTGCAAATTGTAAAGTAGTTTAATCATCAAGGAGAAGTTAATAAGTGCAGAGCAATGCCTTAAGATTGGCGTGTAATTGCTTCTTTAGGTAATGATGGGGATGTATTTATTTACAAACATGATGAGACTAATCAAATATAATCAGATTTCAAAACTCTTACTGGACTTCAAGATGAGGGATTTGGAATTCAATGGAATTCTAAACAATAAGGCTTACTTGCAGCAGCAACTGGAACTTCAGTTTGCATTTGGGATGTAGATAAATGCGAAAACGGAGCCCCTACTGTAATCATTTTGGATGCACACGAAGATACTATTAACGATCTAAAATTCTCACCTTTAAATCAAAACTTATATGGTACTGCATCTGATGATCATCACTTTAAATTATGGGATGTCAGAGCACCTCTATAATTCCTTCACTGCTATAAAGCTTCTGATGATGACTTGTTTGTCATTTCATTTAACTATGACAATGAATATGTATTTGCAACTGGTGGAGAAAAATCTGGTGCTCTTCATGTATGGGATATGAGAATGGCCAAACATTATATTAATGATCTTTACCATCATAAAGCTTAAGTTAATTAAATAGAGTGGAGTCCAACCGATACTAATCTCTTTATGTCATCATCGACAGATGGTAAGCTCTTTGTTTGGGATCATTCAAAGACTGGAGAAGAATAAGCTCGACATGATTACGAGGATGGGCCTCCAGAACTTATTTTCCCTCATGAATATCATAAAAATGGTATTGAGGATATAGCATGGAGTATATTTGAAGATCAAAAACATTTTGCTGCAAGTTGTGATACAGATGGTTCACTTCAAGTATGGAAAATGTCTCAAAATTTTATCTTTGATGAAATGGACTATTATGACTAATTAGAATCAATCAAAAATGAAGAGGTTGAATGAATAAATTATTTTCAGAAAATTAAATAAATAAGATAAGGTTAATTATCTCTATCATAATCTTAATTAGTAGCAATCAATGGGGTTTTGGGGTTTTGGGGTTTTGGGG